AATATGGAACCTGCTGGCAGTTGTTTCATTTTGTTTCTTTTTTTTAAGAATATATTGAGGAATTTTGATCATTCAAATCTCCAGCATTTCTTCATACTAAAATAAAAATATTCGAAAATGATGAATAAAGGCATTTTTATACATGTTGGCTGGTCACCTATGTATAACTGATTTTTATTTTCTGTGAACTTAAGAGGTGCTGGCAAAGGAACTTCTGAGATTTGCTTTGGTTGCTCAAATAGAAATTAAAATTCCTTATAATATGACTTCCTCTATAAATCAGATAGGTTACAAGTTTTCTGGAAACTGACATCATTGTCAGAAAATTACAGTCAGAAGCACCCTACTAAAAAGGCAAATAGGTCAATCCTTATGTGCATCTCTAATGCATTCATGCTGTCTGTATTAAGTACATTAAGTAAGCTATCACAGAATTTGTTCAGAGATTTGCAGATTGTGATTTTTCGTTTTCCCAGATAACTGCTTATCTTAAAATCTTTTGAGAAAAGAAAAACATACAGAATTAATTTGGGGCTCTTGCCATTAGACTTTCATCTTTACCATCATAGTTGTAACGTTATGTTCAAGGTAATCTAGGGGTAAGGCATGAGGTTTGTAGTTAAATTATTAGATCAACAGGTATAGCTGAAAAAATGAACACCCAGACACTGACAACCCACATTACAGTCTGAAATAGAGGCAGTCAAAGCCCATGCAGAAGTCTGTGTATTAAAAAAAATCCTAAAGAGGAATCCTAATGTGTAGTGATCACTTCCCATAATTTAGTTTTAAAAATTCTTCCATTGTTTCACATACATACAAGTTTTAACAAACAAGATGCAAAACTGAACCGTATGAACACGTATACAAATGCAGATATGAAGTACTATTTTGCTTTTAAATGCCAGTAATTGTTGCTACATTTCTGTTATACAAGAAGTGACCTTCAGACAGCATTTGAATTTGTATTCAGATCCATTCAGTTAAAAAACAAGACAATATTATTATAAACCCTTTGTATTCACCATTATATCAGATATAACATATGTTTTGCGGTCTGTCAACTTCACAAGGTTTGGAAATCGCTTAGATTGGCATCCAGTTTCTGGGTGTAGTATCTCAAAACTAACACTGAAACAAACACTGAGCAACTGATAAGGCAATGCAGTGAAGTCACCCGGCCTGTCTACTGTAGCCAAAATAACACTCTACAGTGCCCTTTTTGTTGATCCAGCTATCTTGTAAGCTTAAGAACATTAATTAAAAAGCTACTTAGTTAAACCAGATGACATCTATTTTATGGCCAAAGAACATATGCTACATGGAGATAGGAAAGAAAGGAAAAGCAATCAGTTATCGAACGTCTATGAAAAAAGGAAGCACACACTGAAAATAATAGAGCAATGAGTACTATATGAGCATCCTTCATCTGAAACAACAATGTGAAGATACAAAGCTTTGTTATAATACAACATCCAGGCACTTAAGATGCCATCAGTAACTTCTTCAAGTGTTAATTTAACATTCTTCATGCACACTTGTTTCTCTAAAAACTTACAAGTACATCCACAGTGAAAGTAACCTCTGTAGAGAACAATATTTCTTCATAAGGACTACCAAAAGACCATGGAAATCTCTGAACAGAGATTTTAAACATTCATTGCGTACAATAGATTGCTCAGCCAGCGGACGACAGAACATTACTCAGCTACTTAAAAACGATATTAACTGACATCAGTCTGGTTTGCAGCAGAAATGGGGAACTCTTGACCTACCAAGTATGAGACTTGGTTGTGGTTTGGGTTTTTTGATTTGTTTTCTAATTATTACATTGGAAAGTCTGAGAAGAGCCTTGACCGAAGACAAATGAATACTACATTACTACAACAAAACCACATCCTGTGTATTATTGTACAGTCTAACTTCTGAGATGTTGCGCATATATTTTATGAAAGTGAATTATAGCAAGATTTCGTTTATTCTACAAGTAACTTAGCCCTCCAAAATATTTTAAGTATACAGATTTCATAGCAAATGGTCAAGTTAATATTTCCTGTGGGTGCTGTGATGATACAAGTATGTTAAAACCAAAAATATAACTTGCTTATCCACTATAAATTCAGTGGAAAATTTTAATACAAATCAAAATGAAAAAACAGTGCAAAGATCAACTACATTATTTGACAAGTGCATGTGCAAGTGATGTGGATTACACATTTATTTTTAAAGTAATTTACCCTGATTTATAAGCAACTTTTGGCTAAAGCTGTTATTTGAACATCCAGAGCTGCTAAAGATACAGCAAGGTTACAGGATTGAGAACGGAAGCATTTCAAGGAGCTGTACATCCTATCCATGTTTCTACTGACATCATCTTTTCCTCATTCTCAGGTTATTTACAGTACTTCCACTGATTGATGTAAATATTTTACTTTTAGGAATTAGTGAGCAAACTTGACACAGTTCATCTTTATTTTATTTTAGCTAGCACCCCAGATCTTACCCAGATATATTGATACAGCTACGCATGTATATCACTACAACTTAAATGTACTTTTTTTCCACCTGGTGAGCTAAGTTGCATATAAATCATCATCACTAAAGGTGTTTCTTGCCTTGAAATACCTAAGAACCATCAAACATTTCCATATGAAAAAGCTTTGCCAACAAAAATCACACTTGCAAGATTGAAACCAACTGTTAACCAGCAAAATCAGTAAGTAAATAAACCAGTTTTTCATGGAATCTTAGGACTGGGAAGGATTAGCAACTTCCTCTAGACTACTTTCTACCTCAAAACAGTATAAGGTCTACCTAAAAAATTGCTGGCAATGCCAAGAATGATTATTCCACCATCTGAGAAAACATATACAGTTCTCTATTCATTTACCAAGCATCTGATTCAGCTATAACTACATATGCCCTATTCACAATTGACACAGAAAATCAATTTTTGTTTTCAACAGCTTTTTACATACCTGAGAGCTGATACAAAAGTTCAGCTTTCAGTGAAGAGTACCGTTTCACCTCTCCTTCCTTTAAGTCATGCTTTCAAAACATTTAATTGTTCTTCTTCGTACTTCTTTTCTATTGAGAGTCTGCACTGACCCTCAAATGTAACAAACAAAACCAATCATACTGAAGTTGAGGATATACTGGTCTTAATAGACCGGATAGATTACTTGATACTGGACTGTCTTTTTAAGCACCTTGAATAATGTCTCCTTTTCCTTACAACTTCATTCACTTTTAACTCACATTAAAATTTAACACAGTATGGCACCAAGGTCTTTTTCTATAGAACTGTTACATGCTAAACTGTTTCTATCACTGCATTTAGGCAAGAAATCTCCTAGACTCTGAGAAAAGATTTAAAGACACAAACAGATCCTTAAACCTTCAAATCTGAATCAAACCAAAACTCCAGGAAAAAAAAAAAACCAACACACTCACGTACTGCGTTTACTAAGGTGAGCCAAAACAGCAAAAATATCCATGTGAAGCATACTGTTTTTTCTAGTGTTCATCAAAAGCTTTCCAGTACTGTGTAATTCTAGAAATTGTAATCAAAGGTTTAATTGCTGCAATTATTGAAAAACATCCCCTTCTACAGACATGGAAAGGTTATTTCCCAAGGCTCAGAACACTAACATATTTTCACAATTATTCATGCTTTTACACAATCCTTGATTCTCTGTTTTCTGGAGCTGTGCCAGCAGCATTAGGAGCTGTTTCCTCTTCTAAAATTACCACTGTGTGACTTTTGGAATATACAACGCAGCTGCAGTTCAGAGTTTTCTCTCAATTCCTCTACCTGGTTGCAGGAGTTATGTGTGGACAGAAAAAGCTACAATTCAAGGGATTCAGGAAAGACATCTCTTTGCCTTCCCCCTGCCTGCTAGATCAAACCGCCTTAAAAGCCAAAGCTATCTACTTCTTTCTTATCTACTTTTCAGCATGCGAAGATCTTGCAATCAGCTTTTAATTTATCAACAGTAATAACTAAACTACCAATTTTCAGCTGAACAAGAGATGTGTGTAGAAGAAAGGTGGCTAAAAAATCATGACAATTTCAATGACACGAGCTAAGGAGCATTAAATGGAAGCAGCAGACAGCAGGCACAACAGGGAAAGGAATACTAATTTGTGAAACTCCTTGCTGCAGGATATTGTAAATGTTGGAAGACAAAGCCTTTGACAAGTATTAAAGCACAACCTTTAGTTAAGAAAGTCCATCAGCTGTAAATTGTTGGAAGTGAGGAAATTAACATGAGAAAGCAACACTACACACTTGCCCTAGCTCTATAGTCTCTATAGCTGTTTCTTGTTGGACACTTGGGACAAGGTTCCTGACAAGACAATATAATTTGTCTGGCTTGTTTGGCCATTTTTAAGACCTAGTAAAAACTTCCAAACAGAGTGTGGAAGATTTTGCCCAAAGAATTTACAAGAGGCACAACTGCCAACACATGTACAAAAAAAAAAAGTTGTTAAACTAACAAAGATGGAAAAGCTGACTTTTTTCCTATAGAAATATATTTTTCACTAAGAAATTTGGAGAGGAAGAATCTTAAGGCTCATCAATAAGGATGATGAAAAAGATTGGACACCATAGTTCTTTAAGTCATCATTCTCAAAATATTTGAAGTACTCAATAGACAAAGTTCAGGATCCGTGCATTAAACAGCTCTAACTATCATCTCCCCCACCGGTGTCCCTTAGCAACACATTAACTTAAAACATGTTCAGCTTGCAAGGACTCCACTCTCAACCACTCTCAGCCCTCTCCACTGCTTCTTAAATCACCTATCGGTTTCCTGAGGAAAAAAGCCCATATATCAAGCATTACAAGAAGATAAGAAATATAGATTACGTCCTTAAAAAAAAAAAAAAAACCCACAACAGGAAATCAGGAAATTCCAAGATAGATTTTACCTTGGTATAAATGCTATTGGCCATCTCTTTTGGTGAATATACTTTACTTAGGTAGTCACGTTGTCAGTGCTTATCCACATACACCTTAAAACCACAAAGAGAAGACCTGGGATTTACCTTTAAATCAGAACACATGTTTCTCTTCTCTTCCTAAGTATAAAGTAGAAGAGTATAAAACAAAGTACGTCTCAACCAACTTCAAAAATGAAAAAGATCATTCAGCGTAGTAACTGATAATTCTTTTTTTTTTTTTCATAGTTAATTTTTTTAATGAATCTCAGTAGTGAAAAAAAGTAAACATTAAAATATTTAGGTGCATTATGTGTAAAAAAAAAAAAATCACTTTTCTTAATTTATAGGCTTTGAAAATACAAACTAACCTGAGCAGAGGATTCACAGAAGATAAACTAGAAATCCACAAATGGGAAAGCATAGATTACGTGGAAGAAATAACACAAGTACTGGCACCTTTTTAAATAAGGATGCTGAAGTGCTGGGCAAAGCCATTGGCCAGAACTGTTTCTATTCCCTCCTGGCCACTGATGCCAAATCCTGTGTGCACACCTGAAAGCAAAGAGAGTAAACGTACATCTGCTGAATAGCTCAAAAACAGCTGTCAGCTTATCCAGCTATCACACAGACAGCATCAGGCAACAGATATAATTTCTGACAATGGAAAATGTTGTCCTAGACTAAAACAGACATGAAATAGAAGAGGGAATGCTCTCATTAACACTGATGTTCAGTATTTATACAGTATTTATATAGTCCCTCCAGCGTCAGTAGGTTAAAAAACTCCCTGCGCAAGCTAATTATTTTATTGTGGTTATTATATAATCAACAGTTTTTCTTTATCCTTCCACATCCTCTTTAATTTTTTTCCTTTTCTGTTGTTGCATCTAGAAGACCACGTCCCCATTCTCCTCAGCAAAATAGATGAACAAAGGTATTTTTATATATCACTAGCCAAGTTTTTCTGGGTTTAGACAGCAACAATAAAACTGTTAAATTAAGTTGATCTGTTGTATTATCCTGTGAATATTCAGTGGAGTCTTTCTGCTGTTTTCCTACTTCAGTAACATGCCATTGGAAGATGGGGTTCTGGGAAGTTACAGGACAAGGCTGCTTACAGAAAGATGAAAATGTGAACATGAAACAACCATTATAAGGAAGTTATCCGACTATGAAATGTTTCAATTTCCCACCAATTAATGGCAAAGATTTCTTTACTATATAGTCACGCATACCCGTTATGTGTTAAAGAAGAACTAAAGAAGCACATAGGTTGCTCTTGAAGTAATACCACCTATTTATTTCCATGGAAACTACAACAAATGCAAAGAGCACACAGACCACTATTTGACTGAGCAAGTTATCAGTTACAAAATACTTTTTTCCAAAACAGCCATCCCCACTAGCTATGCATTTTCCCTATGTTCAACCTCTACTGCCACATCTCCAGTATCCACATCTGACATCGTGGGCCATAATAACAAAATAGGAGGCATTATCTTCAGAAAAGCCTTCAGATAACCGACTTGTTCAAGTCCTTCAGTCATATTCTATTATCAGTACTTAATGTAAATATTTTTAACTACAGCAGCAACCACGCATTTTAGGGAAAAAAAAAAGCATTTGGAGGGCATTGTGAAAAAATACACTTCCCTACAAATTTGAAAGATGACTAATGTTATAGGACAAGAAATCCATCATGAACTAGTAAACACAAAGATAACACATCTTCCTGAGAAAGAGGAATAGAGTGGACAAAGCTGCACAAGCAGTTTTGAACGGTCGCCTTATTTCTTCTGCTCTTTCCCAGGCGTCTGCTTTTGGTCACTATTAAAGATAGACCCTAGATTAGACATTTAAGTCTGATTCAGGTTAGGTTCACCCCACACAAACAAATTTCTTTATCACAGTTCCTTTCGAGTGACAAATAATGGTATCAAGGCAAGTCTGATTTTTCTTCCTCTTCAGAAATGGAAGAGTGTTTATCATATTTCTCAGTAACAGGGCTGGCTCTATTTCAACACTTTACTTTCCAAATTTGCCATTACTTTCGATAACGCTGTCAGTATCTTCATCTCCTATTATCTTCCCGTGCTTCCTAATCAGCTCTACAATTCATGCATTTTGTAAAGGAGTGACTTACCAGGAGTTTTACACCTGTAGTCAACTTGCAAAAAATTTCTCCTAATTAGTTCTAATAGCAGAACGCTGAAAGTTTCTGGTAAGTCACCTGATTTTGCAACTACTATAAAGAGATGATGTGATGTTGGTCATTTCTTGCATTTAATGACTGGGGTGTTGTCTTTTCCAGAGGAAAAAAAAAAAAAAAAGTTAAAGGAATTTTTAAGTAACTGAAACTTCTACTAGAAAATCTCATTCCTACTCAGTATCACAACCCACCCTCTTACACAAACATAATCACACATACAGCATACTTAATCACAACGCACACAAGAAGATTATAGAATTCTTGCAAGATGATTTGATTTCACTTTTATCTACTAAACACTAAAAATAAAACTCACTGAATTGGCTGTTCAAGAAAAACCTTGAGCTTTCCAGCTGATACTGAGGATTACAAAGTAAACAAAGACTTAAACTGCGCTGATGACTCAACAAGCATTTAGCACAGGAATGTGCATTTCTCTAACCCTTGTTAGATGTACTTGGAAGCACATCCTATTGTTAATTTCTACAATAATGTTCAGCTATACCCTCCAACAGTTGCATTTGCTTTCATATCTCATACTGCAGCAATACAGTCAGAAACACAAATTCTGCTTTAGCATAAATATCCTATAATTTAATTTGTTGAGAAAGTTGCTATATTCCAATAACATAAAAAGAAAAATCTTTGTGAAATGAGAATATTAGGAATCTTGTGGATACAGGATACAAGCTGCGAAGTATGAAGAAAAATACACACCAAAACTATGAAAGCAGACTCAGGAAGCCAGAAAAACAGGTAGAGACTAAAGCTACAAAACTTATGTCTTGGCAATGATATTCTTAAGAATGAAGCTGGAAGCTCTGTTAAATCAGTAGGGCAAAAAAATTTGATTTGTATTGAAGAGTTCAAGCCTCATCCACATAAAAGTAACAGAAGTTATTATGACAGGAACCAGATTTTCTAAACAAAGCAAATTGTTCTGGCATTCCCATGAAATGCTGATATTTATAAAATCCACTGGAGGTGATTTAATGGCATTAATTTGATGCAGTAATGATTTTAAGGTCAAGTTGTGCTCTCTTAACAAAATCAGGAAAAACAGTTGTACTACATCTGCCTACTTGCACTTCAGTTAATTGGCACTAATCCTGTGCTGCTCATCTCATGCAGTAACAGAAATGATATAATACTAATTAAGAATAGACAGTCTCACTATAGATCTAGATAACTTTAAATCTAAAAACATTTATATTCATGCAGCATGGGAAATAAATAGGAGGAGATAGAAACTGAGGTGCAACTAGAAAACTATGATCTACTTACTATTTCGGAAACGTAGTGGGACAAACCACAAACTGGAATACTATGATTGAGGGCTACCAGCTTTTTCAAAGGGACAGGCAAGGTAGGAGGAGCAGGGTAGTTGCTCTCCATGTTAAGGAGTAGATAGACTGTGAAGAGCTGTCTGAGAAACAGAGGCATTGGGTTCAGACTAATGAAGGACATCTGGTGGACAGGGTCTACTAAAGGCCACCTGAGGCTTTCTCGCTTTAGCTGCAAGAGGTGTCACCTCACAGACTCTCATCCTGATGGGGAATTTCAACCACCAAGACATCTGCTGGGAAAACAACACAGAGAGCTGCAAGCAGTCCTGGAGGCAGGCTTGGCTGTAGGAACCATGGCCTGGTCAAGTTTGTGATTCTGAGGAACATGGGCCTGGCAAAGAGCAGAGTTAAGATCCTGAAATTCAAGAGAACAAAATTTAGGCTGTTTAAGGAATTACTGGATTACATTGCCTGGTATTGCACTTAAGTCAAGGCAATCCCAGGTATATGTATGGACTGGGAGAACTCAGAGTAGCCCTGCAGAGATGGACATGGAGTTCCCAGTGAATGAAAAGATGGACATGAGCCAGCAGTGTGCCATTGTGGCCTGGAAGGCCAACAGTATCCCAGGTTGCACCAAAAAAGGGATTGCAGGGAAGTGAGGAAGGGGATCATCCATCTCCACTCTGTCCTCATGAGGCCCCACACTGAATACTGTATCCAGGCCCGAGGCCACCAGCACAAGGAGGATGTGGAGCTGATAGTGATAGGAAAGGGGAGTGGTTTGAAACTAAAAGAGAAGATTTAGGTTAGATCTTAGGAAGAATTTTTTTTTTTTTTTTTTACTCAGAGGATGGTGACATACCAGAACAGGATGTCCAGAGAAGCTGCAGATGCTCCATGCCTAGAGGCTTTCAAGACCAGGTTGGATGGGACTCTGGGTAGACTGATGTTGTAGCTGGCATCCCTGTCCATGGCAAGGGGCTGGAGCTAGGATGATTTTAAAGGTCCCTTCCAACCTAAGCCATTCTATGATTTACAATTTTGGGGATTTCTTCGGTTTTGCTTTTAGAATATTCTACAAAATCATACTGATACAGTTACAAGTTATAGTGATACTTAGAAGCCTTCCCTGGATGAGGCTCTGATACAGATGAAACATACAAAAGCAGGGTTTTTTTTATTGTTTTCCAAATATATTACTCCTATTCGCATAAAGAAAAAGTAGTTATTTTAGGTTTTTCGTGGTACATGCTAGATAACCCATTATAAAGGCAAGTACTGGTAGAATATGATAGCAGTAGGACACATTTGAGAGTCTACTCATTTATCTCATGAAGACAGATTTTTTATTTAAAACTTAAATCGATACCTGTTTTTCCCTCTCTTTTTCTTTTTTCCTTTTGGTAACTGTAAGAATAACTAATATTATTATACATAACTACTATACATAGTTACTTTAATTTAGCAAATACTCAACTTAAGTGTTAATAATAGAGACAACTTAAATTATTCTCAGCATATCTAAATTGTATAAACAGCCACAGTCCAATATAAATGATTCTCATAGATCACTTCTACTGTTTTATTCCTCCCTGAAAAACAAAAAAAAAAATATGCTTTTCAAAATATAGCACAGTTACTTGTTTAAAGAATAAGCTCATACAAAAAATACATGGTGCATTAATAGCAGAAATCAGGAGCTCATCAGTAGCGAGAGTAGTGACAACAATCAAGAAGCCTTGAAATGAACACTGGTGACCAGAGGTGAGCTGCTGCTTTCCCCTTCATATCCTCGCAGCTGGGATAGCGCCACCACCCAAGGACAGGCCTACTTCTGTTCGCTGATGGCCACCTGGTGGTTGAACTGGCAATTCAAGATAACAGTGCATTCCAGTTAAAAAACCACCTGAGTAAAGACACTGTAAAAAAGAGAAGCAAAGACTGATCTCTGCATATGAGGGTGAGCAGTTAGGTATGCCTTGCCACAAAATACTGCACCAAGATTATTAACTGAAGGAGGAAACTACTAGAAAAAATATTCACTTAATTGAACAGGCTTAATAAAATACTGTCACAGCTCTTTGTGCAATTTCACATCCAAGATGTACATTCATTAATAATGAGTTTGAGATAAATAGTTACGTGTGAACTAAAGAGTCTTTATAGCAACTGTGAAGCAGTGTAAGTAACTACAGAATTATGACCATTACTAAATGCTTCATGCAATCCTGTATGTGAGGCAGTTGATAAAACAGCCATTCTGATGAACTTTCCATGTATTCTGACATTAATGAAGGTCTTACATATCACATTTTGAATAAGATACACAGCTTTTGCTGAGAATATAGCCTTATTTGTCCTAACTGGTCACTGGGTGTTGTAGCTAGGAATTGAGCAGGTATTTCTTTTTTGAGTAATAGGGTTTTACGATCCAAATTTATGAAGGAGCTACCACACTGAGAATAAACCACACCAAATCACTTCAAAACACCAAAAAGTATTTTGAAAAATGCCTGCATACGCAGTAAGCTGGGTGCCTGCTACTCTGCCAACTTACCCTCTGCTCAGAGGCACAGAATCGATAACTCATAGCTGTTACAAACTCATAAAATGCAAAAAATACAACTTCTATGAATTCACATAACTTCTTGTTCAGAATTTCACATGCAACTTTACCTGAAAAAAATAAACAGAGGAAAAGAGTACTTACAACTAACTTCCAATATGAACTGGATGCAAAAACTTTTTTAAAAACAAATATTAGACTCTAGAATAACATTCCCCCCCTCCAAAGAGAAGGAGCAGTTCTCTTCGTGCCATATTTTAGAGTAACTTAATTCTTATAAGAGGTGTCATTCTGTCGATGCATATATAATCATTAAAGCTATTTTAACAATGGTGATGATGACAGACTTTACTGAAATGAGCCACAGCATGCCAGGTGGGTTACATAGTCACAATGAAAAAAACAGCAACACAAATACACAAATGAGAAGCAGGTTAAAAAAAAAGGTAAGAGCTGGAAGAAACTGCTGGGTGTCATGAAAGTTCTGCCAGTATGAGCTACATTAAAACTTCAAATTGCTCATCGTTTACACTGGTACTGCTTCCTCTGTTTATCTCACTTCATGAAATTACAGTCCTGTAACAGAACTGATTTGGCAGTCATCATATTTCAGCTGCTAGGGGATCATAAGCAAGCTCAGTCTGTGCACAGGAGGAGAGAAAAGGAAATAATCTTAACTTTAAGCACCTGAACCAAACACATAGATTTTCCAACCCACAACTCCAGCCAGTACAGACAAGTCAGCAAATAAGTGAGAGTTCTCTGAATCATTTGTTAGAGGACCTTACACTTCCACTGACTTCGGGGGAAAACTGGGGAACCTTCACAGTCAATCACATCACCTGCCAAACTTGACTCATGTGAACACCTCCAAGGCTGCTGACACAGGCTGCCTCAGAGAAACAAGACATTCTTTTGCACTACAAATGAAGAGCTCTAATTAAATCCTCAGATAATAGACTAAAACAAAACTAGCCAATAAGATCCTTATCTTCCCTTTAAACAAAGATTACACATAGGGAAGAACATGACGCATTACGCTTTAGAACTAAGGTTCCAGATTCACCTGATAAGAATTGTTTTTCTCCCCCCAGCAAATCTTAA